TTTTGTATTTTTTTTTTAGTAGAGACGGGGTTTCACCGTGTTAGCCAGGATGGTCTCGATCTGACCTCGTGATCCACCCGTCTCGGCCTCCCAAAGTGCTAGGATTACAGGCTTGAGCCACCGTGCCCGGCCTGTCTCCATTTATTAATGGGACTTCTGTAACCTAAAACTGTCCCTTGTCAATTATGTAGTTCCCCTGAAATATTATAATGGAGAAACTGAGGCTCAGAGAGAAGTAACCACGCAGGTTGCACGTGGTGGAATCTAGTGGGAGTCCTGTTGGGTGACTCAAAGCATAAGCCTGGTTATGTCCCCACCAGGTGGAAGCCTTCCCTGACCCCCTCCCCAGCCTGGCCAAGCCCGATGCTTGCTCTAGGCTCCTGTAGTGCTGGGCACTCACCTCTCAGCAGTGCAAGGGGAAGAGGCCTCCAGGTCACTCCTGCCTGTGGCGTAGAGCAGGCACGAAGAGCAGCATGGAGCACCTTAAAGGCTGGGGCTGGGTGTGTCGGTGCCTAGCATGGAGTCCAGAGGCCTCAGGACTTGTTAAAAAGATGATTTCAGCATCTTCCCTTAGGGCCCTCTGTCATGTTCCTGGCAGAAGTTTTAACACTTGGTCAATTAGGGAAATAATGGGAGACAGTTGTGGTGGCTTATGCCTGTAATCCCAGCACTTTGGGAGGCCAAGATGGCAGGATCATTTGAGTCCAGGAGCTCGAGACCAGCATGAATAATGTCGTAAAACCCCATCTCTACAAAAAAATAACAAAAATTAGCCGGGCATGGTGGCTCACACCTGTAGTCCCAGCTACTTGGGAGGCTGAGGTGGGAGGATGGCTTGACCCCAGGAGGCAGAGGTTGCAGTGAGCTAAGATCACACCACTGTACTCCAGCCTGGGCAACAGAGCAAAGCCCTGTCTCAAAAAAAAAAAAAAAAAAAAAAAAAAAATTGTTGGGCATGGTGGCACATGCCTGTGGTCCCAGCTGCTTGGGAGACTGAGGTGGGAGGATCACTTGGGCCTAGGGAGGTCAAGGCTGCAGTTAGCTGTGATCATGCCATTGCACTCCAGCCTGAGCAACAGAGCAAGACTCTGTCTCAAAAAAAAACAAAACAAAACAATAAAAACAAGATAATGGGGTCCTGTCAGAGCAGCTGAAATTCTGAGACTCATCTGTTTGCGTGGACTGCATTGGAAAAGGGGAGACATGGATGGAGTCATTCCCCACCCCTTTGCCCACGGGAGTAAAGAGGCTGCATCAGACGGCATTGTGCGTGCTTCCCCAAGGTCCACAGGCTATGCCAGGTGAACATCCTGCTTGCCTGTGGGATCTGGGCAGGCAGCTTCCCAGTCAGTGCCTATACAGAGTGTGAAAGGGTCAGATCCCAGTGCCCACCCTGCCCCAGCCCCAACACACTGAACAGTTTGCAGAGTCTGGCCTTGTGGTCACTGGCTTGGGAGTACATTTGACAGCCTCCGTCTGCTGCCTTGGGTCCAGGGAACAAGGTGAGCTCTGGGCCTTCAAGCAGCTGCCTGCACCTGCTGTCTTGAGTGTTGGGGACCATGCGTCTATAAGCCAGAATATTGCTTTAAGTATTTTGGGGAATTATGAAAACCCTTGAATCGTTGCCACCCTGGGTGGCTATAAAACCAAGTTCTGCATCGTTTTCTTCATCTCTAAGATGGAGATAATGTTACTTACTTCAAAGTTGCCTTGAGAAAATACATGAGATAATGTTTGGGGAAATGCTTTGTAAACCACTGGGGTTGCCCAAGAGTAAAATACGTTGTTGATGAATTGGCCCCGGTGCAGAAACGTGGCCAGCATGAGTTGGGCTGCGGAAACACTCCCAGCCATGGTGGCTTCTCCTCCGCCCTGGGGGACCTGCCTGCCTCCTGCTAGAAGAGTCTGGAGGCTGTGGGAGGATGGGCATGGCCATGTCTTGTTAGGAGGCTCTGGAGCAGGAGGGGTGGCTCAGCTAGGTCCCCCCACTTTGTAGGAGGTGGGGAGACAATGTGTTGATAGGACCTGGCTTTGAGTCCCGGCTCTGATTTGGGGGTAAGTCACCCACATCTCTGGGTGCATTTCCTCTTGTGAAATAAACAACCTACATGAAGAACGTGAAGGGGCCCTGAACGCCAGGTGGACATGTGCATGTGAGTGAGCAGAGCCGCAGGAGGAAGCTGGCCTGCAGCCTTCACCCAGATCCCAGCCCTGGCTCGGGTCTGCTCCCTGGGGTTGCCCCTCTGCCTGGGAGTCCAAGCTGGAGGCTTCTCAACACTGCCCTTAGTCATGAACAAAACAGCCTTCGACATCGCCCCGCACCTTGCTTGGAAGGTGAAGATTTAGGCGTATTTGTACTTCCTCTGGTCCCCCCACAATTCCCCATGTCTATTCATTTAATTTGAGATGATAGACAAAGATGATGGTTTACAACCCAAGTCTTTTTCAAGAAATATTTCTGGCGCTGGTTTTCAGTTTTGCAACCATACTTACAGGAGCTATTCTTGGACTTGTCACTGTGTCTCTTTTTCAGAGCTTGCCACCAGTCTTTATATATAGACACCTTCTCCATTTTTGAGTTTCTTTATATAGACGCCTTCTCCAGTTTTGAGTTTTAATCTGGATTCGTGTCTCGATTGGTGTGTTAAGAGATCATGTATGTGTGGGAAAATAGAAATGTAAAGGGCTCTCCTAGAGTGCACACTTACAGCTAAGAGCCAACATGGTGGTGGAGATGCTGCGGCCGTTGGCGAGGAGCCCGGGGTGCAGGCGGGCAGTGCAGACAGACAGCGGACGCAAGATCCTCTGCATCACGGGGCCGGGCTGCAGGCTGCTGCACCTGGGAAGGCCCAGGGAAACCTCCGTTGGTGTCAGGATATTCTGACTTGAATACCAGCCTGTGGATTTGAAAGGGACCATGAGATCATCTAGAGTGACCTCTGTTCAGACCGAGATGGTCGGGGTTGGGGTTGGCTCATTTTCTGAGCTAGTTTTTGGAGCAGGGAACCCACATGGCTGGTTGGCGGGGGAGCTGGTGTTCACGCTCCAGCCAGGCTCTTTCCGCAGTGCCCACACACGGCACTTTGCATCTTTTAAAATTGTCGGGTATTCCTCTGGTGGCATTGCAGGTTATTGCCATAGTTGGTGATTTGGGCAGAGGTGTTTGTTGGATGGCATTGACCAGCCTTTCAGCAGGTGGCTGTACTGAAAGGGACACCCCATCAGGGCTGTGGGTAGAGGATGCGGCCAGGCTCCTGCCTTAGTCTTCTTGAGCCGCTATGACAAAATCCCATAAATCGACTGCCTCCTTCCTCGCAGTTCTGGAGGCTGGGAAGTCCAAGATCGAGGTGCTGGCAGATTCAGTGTGTGGAGAGGGCTCACTTTTTGGTTCATAGATGGTGCCTTCTCCCTGTGTCCTCTTGTGGTAGAAGGGGCGTGGCAGCTCCCTGCGGTTCCTTTTATGAGGACACTAATCTCATTCATGAGGGCTCCACCCAGTATTCTTTGTTTCACTGTGAGGCACCTCACATTTTTGGAAACAAGCAGTGAAAATCCGTAGATAGGCCAGGCACGGTGGCTCACGCCTATAATCCCAGCGTTTTGGGAGGATGAGGCAGGAGGATTGCTTGAGGCCAGAAATTCAAGACCAACCTGGGCAACATAGGGAGACCCCATCTCTACAAAAAAATTAGAAAATTAACCAGGTGTGGTGGTGCACGCTTGTAATCCCAGCTACTCAGAAGGCTAAGGCAGGAGGATTACTTGAGCTCAGGAGGTGGAAGCTGCAGGGAGCCGAGATTGTACCATTGCACTCCAGCCTGGGCCACAGAGTGAGACCCTGTCTCAAAATAATAATAATAATAATAAAGTTAAGTATTATAAGTGGGCTGGGGGTGTGGGATCTTGCCTCAAAGAGTAGGCAGGAGGATGAACACGTGAGCGGTGACAGACCCGCATGTTCGAGGATGCGGAATGGCTGGAAGTCTCAGAACTGGAGAAGGTGTGCAGGCAGACTTTCAGGAGGGGTGGCACATGGGCTGGCTTAAAAGATGAGAGTTTAGAGTGCACAGATTGGGGAGGAGCCACAGAGTCTCCAAAACAGCACAGCCAGATGGTGGGGGAGTGGGTCAGCCGTTAAGGGGGAGAAATGGCGAAGAACGCACACAAGCCCTCGGAGGAGGCCTCAGCAGTAAGTGGTTTTACTGGCTCCGGGGTATAAAGATGTTCAGGCCCAGCAGGAAGTTCCCAAATGTCTGTTGTGTGCCCACGGTTCCCAGTGCTGCCTGTATAGTCCCAAACAGAGCTGCTGTCCCCAAGGAGCCTGTGTTCTAGGTGGGGTAGGGGGAACAGTTAATAAATACATGAGTGAATCGAGTTAGTCGGGTGGTGTCGATGTAATGCGTGCTCTGGAGGAAAAGAAAGGAAAGCAGGGAGTCAGGCATGCCCGGCCTGGGAGAGGCTGACATGTTTTCATGGTGGCCAAGGTAGAGACCTAAAGGAACGGTGGGAGGGAGCTGTGTGGCTAAGCAGAGACAGCTAGTGCAAAGGCCCTGTGGCAGAAGCAGGCTTAGTATGTTCAAGAAACAGCAAAGAGGCCAGCGTGGCTGCAGCTGAAGATGGAAGTGGGAACTGTAGGAGCTGAGATCATAGAAGCCAGGAGGTCTTATCGAGTCCTTGGGGCTGTTGCGAGGACTATAGTTTTTACTCCTGGGGAGCTGGGAGGTATTGGAGAGTTTTGAGCAGGGGCAGCCTGGTCTGGCTAATCCTTGGAAGACTCACAAGCCTGCTGAGTGGGGACTGGTCATTAGAGGCAAGGGCAGAAGCAGAGAAACTGGTCAGTGGCCTGTTGCATCAATCCAGGGGAGAGGCTGGCTGGGACAGGGTGATGGTTGGGGTCAATACAGACGTGGTCAGGAGGTGGGTGGAGAGACCTGGAAGATTCTTTGCAACGCTGCCACTTGCCCTAGGAGAAGACTCACATTGCAATTTCTTCTCTCTAGGCTAGCTTGTCACTTACTGCAAGGGTTTCCCTCAGGGAGCCTCCTGCTGCTGGGCACCATGACAGTGAGGGGGGCTGTGCTGGCCCCAGATCCAGCGTCGCCCACGACTGCAGCAGCCTCGCCCAGCGTCTCCGTGATCCCCGAGGGCAGCCCCACTGCCATGGAGCAGCCTGTGTTCCTGATGACAACTGCCGCTCAGGCCATCTCTGGCTTCTTCGTGTGGACGGCCCTGCTCATCACATGCCACCAGGTACCCAAGCCTGGCAGGGGGCCTCTAGAAGGGTCCAAAAGGTTCCTGGCCCAACAGAGTGTGAGTTAGGCTAGGCCAGGCTGTGCTGCAGTAGTAGGTAAGCCCTGTGTTATCAGAGGCTTCCCTTGATAGAAGTCTACTTGTTTTTTGTTTTTTGTTTTTTTTTGAGGCAGAGTCTCACTCTGTCACCCAGGCTGGAGTGCAGTGGTGCAATCTTTGCTCACTGCAACCTCTGCCTCTTGGGTTGGAACAATTCTCCTGCCTCAGCCTCCCGAGTAGCTGGGACTACAGGCATGCGCCAAGAAGTCGCCTTCTTGCCCACGTCCCAGGGCCCAGTATGCAGCACAGGTTCCGACGTGTGACTCTGGCATCAAGCGTCGCCCATCAGACAGCTGGCAGCAGGGAGTGTGTGAAGGCACTCTGGATATTTAACCACCTCCATCCAGAGGCGACACTCATCACTGTTCACCTTCCATTGGCTGGAACTAGTCTCGTGTCGAACCTAAGTGACAGAGAGCCTAGAACCGCAGGAGCACAGGGACAGGGGCCGCTTTGCAGATGAGAAAATGGAGAGCCAGAAGGGGAGGGGAAGAGGAACTAGCCGGGTCACTTGGAAGTTGGTGGCAGACTGGGATAGAAGTCAAGTCTCCCGTCTGCCTGTACTCGTGGCCCCAGAGGAGGCTGATGTGGGCGGGGACTGGCCTTGGCAGCCTGCAGAGGTTTGAGGGTGGTCCAGTGGAGAGGGGCAGGGCGAGTCCGCTCGTGTTCCTCAGTCAACCCCTTGCCAGATGCCCTGCGTCCCCATCCCTTTTAGAACCCATTTGCGTCCAAGGCTTTTGGCCCATAGCAGATGGAGAATATTTTGTTCTTTTCCTCCCCAGCCCAGGTCTCAGCTGGGCCAAGTGTGATGTCATGAGAGCTGGAACGAGACACCCAGGGGCTGCCGGGACTGAGGACCGTGGTAGAGCAGCTCTTGGCATTTGTGTGTAGCTTTTACTTTTTTCCTCTGCTTCCTAAAAGTAGCATTCATTCTTCTAACTTCCTGGTGAGGTAGGCAGTGCTGCCTCTGTTTACCAGATGGGAGGAGGAGGCACAGCCTGAGGACATCCCTGCAGCCACTCAGCCAGGAAGTGTGTCCACCTGCCATAGAGTGAGGGCCCGGTCTGTCTTTCCATAACTTAAGGGATGGGGCAGGGCTGCAACCCAGATGGCAGTGATTTAGCTCAGTGCTGCCACAGTCACAGCTGGAGTGAGGCAGAGGGAAAGGGCACACACTGATGGCCCAGAGCTGCCTGTGCGTGAGGTCCCCTGGGGAGCTTGTGGAAACTGGATTTCCATCCTCGTCCCTGGCCCTCCTGTGGTCTGGGGTGTGGGCTCACCGCCACCTGCACCTGCAAGACCGTCCCGCGAGCACTGCTGCATGCACTCCACGAGCCTTGTGCACGCCCGCTGGTCTGAGTCTCACAATGGCCTTGGGAGGCAAGTCTTGTCATCCCCTTTTTGCAGAGCAGGGCTCTGAGGCTTGGGTAGGTCCCGTGCATCGGGTCACAGGGTGGCAGAAGCCCACCTGTCCTCCTGTTCCTGCGGACAGGAGGGTCACCTGCTGACCCCGCACCTCTGCCCCCAGATCTACATGCACCTGCGCTGCTACAGCTGCCCCAACGAGCAGCGCTACATCGTACGCATCCTCTTCATCGTGCCCATCTACGCCTTTGACTCCTGGCTCAGCCTCCTCTTCTTCACCAACGACCAATACTACGTGTACTTCGGCACCGTCCGAGACTGCTACGAGGGTGAGGATGGGGGTGGAGTGGGGAGGGCCGGCTGGGGGCCGGGAGGCTGGGAGCCCCTCTCCCCACATTCCTCCCCGAGGGGCCTCACGAGAACTGTCTTGACACATCCCTGGCTTCTTTACCTGCTACAGGGTTTCTGTCCCAAATTGACAGGTAACAGCACATGCAGCCACAGTCTCACCTCACAGGTGCCTGAAGCAGGGACCCTCCACCTGGGTCTCGTTTTTCAATGCCGGCATCTCAGGCAGGGTGGAGGCAGTAAGCAAGTGATCTGTTTGTAGAGACCCCAGGTGGTCCCAGGTGCAGTTGGGTAGGGACCAATCCAGGGATCCCTGGCATGTCAGTGGCAGGGCTGGGCATCTGTCCCCATGGGTCTTAATTCTGAGGGCTTTGTCCCATGAGTGGGTGCCCTACTGCGCCACCCAGGAAGAAGACTCGATTCCTTTCGGGGACTTGGTTCTGGATGTGGAGTGGAGACATCACCTGCTCCTGTCCTGAGCTCTGACCACAGGCCAGGAGCTGGAAAGAGGAAAAGCCAGCCTCACCCCTGCTGCCCTGAGGGAGTCTGTGGCCCCTAAACAGTCACCACAAGGAGACCAGGATGCTGCTGTCACGGGAGCTGGCCTCTGACCTGTCTTGGGCAGGTCCCAGGCATTCCTCCTCCATCAGAGGCCAGCGATGCCCAGGTCTGCCCTGGACAGGCCAGCAGGAATGGAGAGGAGGGGTTCCTCAATTCAAGACCCCTACACTGGGCCGGGTGCAGTGGCTCACACCTGTAATCAATCCATTACTTTGGGAGGCCGAGGCGGGCAGATCACCTGAGGTTGGGAGTTTGAGACCAGCCTGACTAACATGGAGAAACCCCGTCTCTACTAAAAATGCAAAATTATCCGGGCATGGTGGTGCACGCCTGTAATTCCAGCTACTCGGGAGACTGAGCCAGGAGAATTGCTTGAACCCAGGAGTCTGAAGTTGTGGTGAGCCGAGATTGTGCCATTTCACTCCAGCCTGGGCAACAAGAGCAAAACTCCGTCTCAAAAAAAAAAAAAAAAAAAAAAAAAAAGGACCCCTACATTGATACTCATGCCATTCTCAGAGTGTGAGGTTTCCTGTCTCCTACCCACACCTGTGCTGCTGGTTTTAGATAAAGTGACTGGATGTGGTTTTTCTCATCTCAGGCTGAGCAGCTCTGGCCATGCCCGGTTGTCTGTTTCCCTGACCTGGGAGGTGCTGCCCCAGGCCTGTACTCTGTGGATATTGGGGTGAGGCATGCTCATCCCCCAAGCGCTGGAGTCCCTCTTCTTGTCTACATTGAACCTTGTGTATCCCTGAGAACTCATAGGGCACAGGAGATGCCTTTAGGTTTGGCAAGAAAGTGAAGTTGCTGAACAGGAGGATATTGCACCCCAGGCTGTCATATTTCTGCCTGCCCACCCCCAACTGCGGCCACATCAGGCAGGTGCTTCCCAGCCTCAAGGGCTTGATGTGTGCCATGTCCCTGGCCTGGGAAGCTCTTCTGCTCTGCGTGGGGTCCCTCCTTTCCATCCGTCTGTTCCCTGCCACTCACTCCCAGCAACTCAGTAACTTCCCATGTTCCCTCCTCGCAGGCTGGCATTCCGTCCTGTCCTTCCAGGTGAGAATACTGAGGCCAGGTGGGGACCTGCTCAGGGCTTAACTGGGGCTCCTCGTGTCTGATGTTCCTGGAAGCAGCCAAGTCTCCAGGGAAACCTCTGGGTCCCTGGGGCACCATAAAGGCTGGAATTGGCGAAGGGTGGGGCTGAGAATCCTCTTCCATTCAGCTGCCAGCCTCGCATGGGTACCCAGGGGCAGCCTCTGTCCACCTGTTCCTTCAGAAGCACAAAGCTGTTCCCTGCCAAGGCGGCCTCTCCTGTGTGGTCGGGGGACAAGTGTGGGCTCTCTTCTCGGCAGGACCCCGAAGACGGGCGCATGGCAGAAGGCGGGGCACACAGCCAGGGGAGCCTCCGCTTCACCCTCACTCTGTGCCCCAGAGGCGGCAGCAGATGGCTGGCGGGCACCCCTCGCTCCAGAAGCCTCTTTGTTCAGGCCCCGCCTGCCCTGACCTGCCTCCCAGCCCAGGGAGAGGTCCTCCAGGAAGTCGGCCGCCCTGTGAAGTACATCTCCTAGCAACGCGATTATCCCTTTGGCCTGGCCTCTCCCAGGGAGTTTACAAACAGCACAGCAGCTGCGGTGAAGTTCAGGCTGCCCCCGAGTTCACCAGCTTTTTTTTTTTTTTTTTTTTTTGAGACCATTGCCAGGCTGGAGTGCCGTGGTACGATCTCAGCTCACTGCAACCTCCACCTCCCAGGTTCAAGTGATTCTCCTGCCTCAGCCTCCCGAGTGGCTGGGACTACAGGCGTGCACTACCACACCCAGCTAATTTTTGTATTTTTAGTAGAGACGGCGTTTCACCATGTTGGCCAGGATGGTGTCACTCTCTTGACCTCGTGATCTGCCCACCTCAGCCTCCCAAAGTCGTGGGGATTATAGATGTGAGCCACCATGCCTGGCCGAGTTCACCAGCTTTCAGCATCAGAGGCAGTGGGGCCTGCTCCTCGCCTTGTCCCTGCACCACTGCTCTGCGTCCTAGCCCCTCTCTTGCAGCTGCGTCTGTAGAGTCAGTGATGGGGCAGTCCCTTAAAACTCAAAGAGGTCCCCCCATGTATTCCCCCTCCCACCCTTCCTTCTAAGTGTCCAAGAGGGGCCAGGAGGACCCTGGAGGAGCGGGATTCGCCTGGGCTGGAGAACTCTGCAGGTCCAGCCAGCCTCTTCTGAGGGCTCACTCAGAGCTGGGCACTGCAGTCATTTGTTTTCTTTCTTTCTTCTTTTTTTTTTTTTTTTTTTTTGAGATGGAGTCTTGCTCTGTCACCCAGGCTGGAGTGCAGTGATGCGATCTTGGCTCACTGCAACCTCCGCCTCCCGGGTTCAAGCTATTCTCCTGCCTCAGCATCCCAAGTAGTTGGGACTACAGGCGCACGCCGCCACACCCAGCTAATTTTATTTTTGTACTTTAATAGAGACAGGGTTTCACCGTGTTGCCCAGGCTGGTCTCAAACTCCTAGCTCAGGCAATCCGCCCACCACCTCGGCCTCCCAAACTGCTGGGATTACAGGTGTGACCCAGCAAGCCTGGCCTTGCTTTTTTTCTTTTTCTTTTTTTTTTTTTTTGAGACGGAGTCTTACTCTGTCGCCCAGGCTAGAGTGCAGTGGCACGATCTCGGCTCACTGCAAGCTCCGCCTCCCGGGTTTACGCCATTCTCCTGCCTCAGCCTCCCGAGTAGCTGGGACTACAGGTGCCCGCCACCACGCCCGACTAAGTTTTTGTATTTTTTAATAGAGACAGGGTTTCCACCATGTTTGCCAGGATGGTCTCGATCTCCTGACCTCGTGATCCACCCGCCTCGGCCTCCCAAAGTGCTGGGATTACAGGCATGAGCCACTGCACCCAGCCGCTTTTTTTATTTGTTAACAAAATTCTGCTTTTAAAAAACACTGAAAAAATTTACGTTTATTAAAGTAATATAGGCATATGGTTGAAACACAAAACTCCTCTAACTCCTCACTCCGAAGTTCACTGTACTTTCAACTCTTTCAGCTGTTTTCTTCCTAGAATGACCTAAAAATATGCTTATACTGGTTTTTGTTGTTATTTTTCAGTTTTATATACGTAGTGACTTCCTATTGTGGAAGGGCTTTGTTTGAGAGACAGGTCTTGTTCTGACACACATAGGTGTGTGCTGCCACCATGCTCCAGTAATTTTTTTTTTTTTTTGTAGAGATGAGGTCTCACTGTGTTGCCTAGCGTGGTCTCAAACTCCTAGGCTCAAATGATCCTTCTGCCTTGGCCTCCCAGAGTGCCGGGATTATAGGCATGAGCCACCGCATCCTATCCATTTCCTTTTCCTGTGTAACTTTTTGTTTTTTGCTTCAGTGACTACTTGCCTTCTTTTAGTTTGCTCAGTTTTCTACATACTTATCATTAGTTTATTCCTAAATACTTCAATTGAATTTAAAAACAAAACATAACAAAAACCAAACCAGCCCTGCTCTCAGTAAAGCCAGGCCAATCCAGGAATCCATGAGCTCTGCCATTTTCCCCATGGCGTTTCTCCTGGAACCTTCTCCCTGTGGTGCAGTCAGGAATGCCTGCTTTCCAGGCTCCCGCTGCTCAGCTGTTGCCCTGGCTCTTTCATTCACCATCAGCCTGGAAACTGCTTCTCCTGTGCTGAGTCACCTGTTCCGTGGAGGCTGTTTCCTCCTTGTTCGTGGTTTGCTGTCTCCGCCTGGTTGGAGCACATCTTCCAGCAGCTTCCTGAGAAAGAGAATGCATGGGAGGTCTATTTTGTGGAATCTGAAAATATCTTTAGTATATTGTTCTATTTGACTGGTATTCAAGGGAAATACAATCCTAAGTTGGAAATCTTTCTCCCTTTGAATTTTGAAGGCATGTCTTCACTGTCTTAGATTCTGATATAATTTCTGGAAAGTCTCCTGCATTCGATCCCTAGTGCCTGTGTGTGTGTGTGACCTGCTTCACTATTTTTTTTTTTTTTTGTGTGCTTTTTTTCCCCTCTCCTCTTTGTATTTAGGATCTTGTCTTAATCCCCAGAGTCCTGAAATCTCACAGGAGGTGGGATAGTCATTGTGCTCAGCAACCTGGCGGGCCCTTCCAGCGTGGATGCTCCTGCCTTAAGGTTCTGGGAAGTCTTTCTGTATGTTTCTTTGATCATTTCTTCCCCTCCACTTTCTTCCAATCTCCCTTTCTGGAATTCCTGTTAGTAGCATCTCATGCTTCCGGATTGAGCCTCAAATTTTCTTTCTTTTTTTTTTTTTTTGAGATGGAGTCTCGCTGTGTCGCCCGGGCTGGAGTGCAGTGGCCGAATCTCAGCTCACTGCAAGCTCCGCCTCCCGGGTTCACGCCATTCTCCTGCCTCAGCCTCCCGAGTAGCTGGGACTACAGGCGCCCGCCACCTCGCCCGGCTA